AGGAGGCGAGTGGCGAGTCGGTGGCTGACCTGTTCTACTGATCTAGTCTGGCTCCCATCCCCTCTCCAAGGGTTGCAGCTGTCTGGAGGTGCTGCCTTCCACGCCTTCCTCATTCATTCAACAGGGCAATTGATTACAAAGTGGGGGGAAGATCTTATTCTACTTCTAGCAAAAAGACATTTTTCTTTTACCTTAATTATACTACCTTAGGGGCCCGCTATAACATATTAGCGAGGTTCAATACTGCTGTTTCAGCAGGGCGGCGCTGGGGAAGGAGGGTTTTCCCCCCACGGGGCCGGCAGCGCTGGGGGGGGGGGGGTGTTTCTGTGGGGTGGGCGGCGCTGGTGGGGGGGTTTCGGCAGTCCTGGGGTGGGGTTCAGCGGGGCCAGGGGGTTTCAGCCCTCAGCTGTTTACTTTGGAGTAATATGGCCCTTGCCGCTTTACGAGTTGTGCAGGCCTGCCTTAAACAGAATCCATCTGGGCTGACTGAGGTCTGGGCGGAGCGGAGACAACCAGCAAGCAATCAGTCTCTAGGGGAGACGGGCCTGGGCTTGAGGAGGCTCAGGCAGCCAGCATGCAAAACTGTCTCAGGGCTGGCTTCAGCCAGCAAACAAACAGTCTTCCAGTGCTGGCTTGGGTCTGGGCGGGGCTTAGGCAGCCAGAAAACCAACTGTCTATGGGGGAGATGGTAAGGGAGGCTCCTTCAGGGCTAGAGCTTCCCTGCACAATGTAGGGAGTCAGCCACCCTGGGGTGGGGTGGCAGGGGGACGCAGGGCCTCCCTACTCCACTGCATCCCAGCCCAGGGCCCTGGCAGGGACAGGATTCGCTGCCCCTGCGTCGGCGGGGATCCAGCCGCAACTTGCCGACTGAGCCGCACCTGGCTCTGCAGCCGGCTGCTCCGGGGCCACTTCCTGCCTCCCTGGGGTTTGTACCGGTAGCCTCCAGGCCTTTTCTGGCTCCTTAGGGTCCAGGGCGGCAGGCACTCCAGGCCAGTCCTTGTCAGTGTCTAGGGATCGGGAACTGCCAGACCTGGGTTCCCCTCTGGGATGCTGCAGAACAGGCAGAACGTCTTTCTTCTCCTCAGGATCTGCCCCAACTGTGCTGCAGTGCCTACCTTTTATACTCCCGGCCACGCCCCGGTACTTCCGGTGAGGGGGGCGGGGTGACTTAGGCTCTGCCCTCCAAAGGGAGGGTAATGGTCCCTCGCTTTCCCACACAGAGGGAGCCCCCTTGCCGCACTACAGGGACTGGTCAGTCTGCTCTGGCTACCCTGCTAGCTGGAGCTTTCCCTCCCTGGGCTGCTGCTACCCTGCCCCCCCCCCCACCCACCACCACCACCACCCTTACACCGGCAAAAAGGGCCAGGGCAATAAGAAGGGCAAAACCCGGAAAGCAAAACCTCCTGAGGGTGGGGCTGCCCTCCTTGCCGCGGCCCCGACACCTGCCACAGCCCGTCCTTCCCCTGCCATTCCTTCCACCAGCTCTGGGGGTGTTCCCTCTCAGGCTCCCAGAGCGTACGCCCAGGTGGCCACCACCCCTCCAGGTGCCACTGTGCCATCTGCCCCAACCACCGCCTCCGCTACCATCCCTGGCGGCCGGGGCACCTTCCCCTCGCTGATCAAGAGGCAAGGCGTCTGCTGCCTTCTGGTGCCCACCTCGTCCCATGTCGAAACATACGTGCGGGCGTCGGCCTGGGTGGTGGGTCCCACAGCCGTCGTGGCAACCTTCAAAATGTATGGAAAAGTCGTGTTCTTCCTGATGTCGGAGCCGCCACTCAGGAGGCGGTGGAAAAGGGCCTGGCAGTGGGGGGTTGTCCCCTTAGAAGCCCTGGAGAACCTGGGCGTATGGGTGGTGTTGACTTCCGTCCCACCCTTCCTCCCCAACACTGCCGTTACCTGCCCACTCCACCCTGAGGAAGCCCATTTCGGTCATCAGCCCTCTCCCGCTGGGCTGTAAGGACCCCACCTTCCGTCACGTTTTTCCTTCCACCAGCAGGTCCAAATCCAACTGCCACCGGCGGCACGTGATGGGGCGGCACTTGAGGGATCCTTCCTGGTGCCTTACCAGGGGGCCCACTACCGGGTCCACCATACAACAGGGGAGGCCAGGTGCTTCCTCTGCCAGGTGACGGAACATGTCCAGAGGGACTGCCCCCTGGCCCAGCATGTAGGGGCATCCGTGACCCCTGAGGTGCAGGAGGGCACCGGCCCTGTCATCGCCGGTGACCCTGGTGGCCCGGCTACTGCTGCCACTGCCTCTCCTCCTACTGTTGTAGCCCCCCCCTCGGCCCACAGGGACAGCCCCCCCCGTCGTGCCCAGACAAGCTGGCGGCCTCGCCTCCATCAGCTGCAGTTCGGTGGGGCCCGCGGAGGAGAGGGCGGCAAGACCCTTGCTGGCCAAGGGAGAGGGCCCGCCCTAGGGGGAGGTTTCCCTTCCCCACGCTGTCCCACCCTTGCCGCCCCAAGCCCGGAACCATCGCCCTTGCCCCCTGGCCCTGCCCCTGCTGACTGGCCCTTCACCTCCACCTTGGAGGGCTGGGTGCTCGTCCGGGGGAAGCGCGGCACCCACAAATTGCGGGTTCGATCCCTCCCCTCTGACGAGGAGGGAGAGGAGGCCCCGCGAAAGATGCTGCGGGGGGCTGATGCTGCTAAATCTTCTGACGTGGCCCCCAGAAGGATCCCAGCAGGAGGCGCTGGGCATGGAAGCGGACAGAGGCAATACTGCCCCCCTTGTCAAGTGCCCCCCGAGGAGGCCTCTGCAGGAGTTCCCCCAGTCCCTTTGCCACCTGTACCCCCCGCCGCCGCCGATGCCGGGACAATTGTTGCCCCAGTTACTTGCGGGGAGGACTCTGGAGCCGTGGGGACTGATTTTATGTCCATATTTGAGGAGATCGAGGCCCTGGGTCTGACCCCGGTCACCCAGGGGGAGGACGACCCCCCCCCACCCCAGCAGGCTTCAATCCTGGCAGAGGCTTAGTCCTGCTGCCCCTCACCCCAAGCTGTCGCCCCCGGCTCTAGTCCTTGGGGCGCCCCTGGCCCTACCGGTCTGCCTGGCCACAGATGGCACCCCATCTGAGGCCGCCGAGCCTCCTGGGGCGACGGCCGATGCTGAGTGGCCGGGCCCCAAGCCTGTGGGCGCACCCTCCACCATCTGGGCAGAGCAGCTAGCCTCCCCTCCGGAGGGGGCCCCCACTGACAACTCCACCATGCCTAACACCGTGGCTGCGGGTGACGCGCTTATAGCAACTTCTGTGCCCGGTGTCAGCGAAGGTCCTCCCTGTCCCCATCCCCTTAGCCTTGATCCCTGGTTGAGAGGAGCCGCTGAGGACCGAAAACCCAACTTTGTTCTCACTCCCGCCCCATCTCTACCCCTGATCCTGCTCCCACCCCGTTCCTGCCCAAGCCCCAGTCCCCGCACCCGCTTCAGTCCCTGCCCCGATCCCGCTCCTGCCCCCAACGCATCGCCTGCCCCTCTCCCCTCCTCTTCCCATGTTGCTGCTGCCCCCGAGGTTGTCTCATTCCCGCTACCTACGGACAACCCTCAGGAGGCAGTTTTCGTGTCTCCCCTTCCCGATACTGTAGGGACTGCACTATTCCCTCCACCGACCTCTCCCTTGCCGGGGATGGGGACGGGCTGCCCGGTGCAGTTGCGCCAGGGCTCGGCCCCTTGTTTGCCCATTTCCACAGGCCGCAAGGATCTCTCAGGGGCCCCACCGGAGGACAGCTTTGGGTTCGCTGCCACGTCCCCCTCTGCGCTGAGGGATGAACTGCGACGCTTCCTAATGGACACCCGTGGCTCGAAGGGCAAGATGCAGCTCACCCTCCAGCACGGGGCGGACTTCCATCACATCCTTCTGTCCCTGTAGGCCCTTTTGGGGAAGGGGAGAGGGACTGGGAGGTGGGACATTGCAGCCTACCGGCAGGCCCGCAACTTGTGCAACTCCCTATTGACCTTTGGGGTCGAGACCGGGTTGTTGCGGGGCCTGCTGATCACCCTGCCCCAGGAGGATCCACCCCGGCCCTCCCTATGACAGTTACCATATTTGCTACATTAAACACCCGGGGCTGTAGGGTGGGTCTCCACAGGAGCCAGGTGCTCTTCTTCCTTTGGGAGCGGGGGTACTCTGATCTTCCAGCAGGAGAGCCACACGGGTCCAGCTGTCGAGGTTAGCTTTCAGCTGGAGTGGGGGGGATGGGCTTTATTTCAGCCCCATCAGCGCCCATTTGGCTGGGGTGGCCACCCTGTTCTCCCCTGAACTACAGCCCAAGGTGCTGGGGGGTCGCTGAGGTCGTGCCAGGCCGCCTGCTGCACATCCAGGCCTGTGTGGAGGGACTGACATTAAACCTAGTCCACATCTATGCCCCAAACACAGGCCCGAAATGAGTGCGTTTTTTACTGGCAGGCGTCAGACTTCCTCGGCCCTCTGGAGCCTCCCGAGGGCCTGGTTCTGGGCAGGGACTTCAGCACCACCCTCAAAGACTGGGACCACTCAGGAGTCGAGAGTTCCCAGACCTCTGCGGGCGTCCTCCGGGAGATCGTGGAGCATCACTCCCCACTCATGGATCTGGAGGAGATGCGTGGAAGGGCCAGGGCCTTCTACGCAGGCCTTTTCTCCCCGGATCTGACCGATGCCGAAGCCTGCAGGGTGCTCTGGACTGAACTCCCGATGGTCAGCGTGGGCGACCGAGACCGGTTGGAGCCGCCTCTCTCTCTGGCCGAGTTCTGGGAAGCCCTCCATCTGATGCACACGAATAAATGCCTGGGCATGGACGGGCTGACCGTGGAGTTCTACCACGTGTTCTGGGACGTCCTTGGTCCAGACCTCGTCACCGTGAAGGCAGACTAGGCCCTGTCACTGTCTGGGCCGAGTCCTTGAAAAGCAGGGTCCTCCCTCCCTTCGAGCAGGTGAACTGTGCCCGCCTTATTGCCAAAGAAGGGGGACCTCCGCGACCAATGGAACTAGCATCCCATCTCGTTCCTCAGCACGGACTACAGGGTTGTAGCAAAGGCCATCTCGCTGCAGCTGGGGTCCATGCTGGCAGACGTGGTCCATCCCGACCAGACCTACACCGTCCCGCGCCAGACCATCTTTGATAACTTGTATTTGGTCCAGGACCTCTTGGAGCTGTGGCGTAGGGATGGTCTGTCGTTCGCCCTCCTGTCCCTGGACCAGGAGAAGGCGTTTGACAGGATGGACCACAAGTATCTCCTGGGCACTCTGCGGGCATTCGGCTTCGGGCCCCAGTTCGTGGGTTTTCTCCAGGTGCTGTACGCTAGTGCAGAGTGTCTGGTCAGGCTCAACTGGACCCTGACCGAGCCGGTCAGCTTCAGGTGGGGAGTATGGCAGGGGTGCCCCCTCTCGGGCCAGCTGTATGCTCTGGCGATCGAGCCCTTCCTCGGTCTCCTCCGCCGGAGGTTGACGGGGTTGGTGCTTCGGGAGCCGGAGCTGCGGCTGGTCCTGTCAGCGTAGGCTGCCGACGATGTGCCCCTCGTGGTCCAGGCCCCGGGCGATTTGGTGCGGGTGAAGGCCTGCCAAGCCGTTTACTCAGTGGTCTCCTCTGCCCGGGTCAAGAGCTCTGGCCTGGTGATCGGGGATGGGTGGCAGGCGAGCTCCCTCCCACCCATGCTTCAAGCCATCCGGTGGAGCGCGGGTCTGTTGCTCTATCTCGGCATTTATCTATCTGCCGTGCATCCTTCTCCGCCAGAGACAGGATATGGAGGCCAGGGTGGGAGATGGAAGGACTGCTCCGGTGTCTCTCCCTGCAAGAGAGGGCACTGGTGCTGAACCAGCTCGTCCTGTCCATGCTCTGGCACCAGCTCAATACCGTGAGCCCGGCCCTGGGGATCCTGGCCAGGCTCCAGAGGACGGCCCTGGAGTTTTTCTGGCCGGGGCTGCACTGGGTCTCTGCAGGGGTCCTGAGTCTACCCCTGGAGAAGGGAGGACAGGGCCTGGTCTGCCTTCGTAACCAGGTCCATGTCTTCCACCTCCAGGCCCTGCAGAGACTTCTTTATGGTGCAGGTAGTCCGGCATGGAGCAGGTTGGCACACGCCTTCCTCCGCCGCCTCTGAGGGCTCCGATACAACTGGAAGC